AATATTTAAGAATTTAATTCAGTCTTTTTTTTTTTCAAAAATCCAGCAGCCGTAATTAAAAAAAAAAAAAAAAAACCCCAACTGTGCTCAGGAAATAGTTCTTTTGCTTGCACTTGTTACCTAAGAAAGTGTGCGCTTTTGTTATGCAAAACAACAAGCTTTCATTTGTCAGACATTAGACCCCAGAAAACTATTTTACGTAGTTGTTTTAATCTTCATTTGGCGAAGGTTTGTACCAAAAAACACGTTGCTATTTATTCAGGGGAGCCTTGTGACAACATGAAACAGGTTCAAACGAGTAAGAAATTTGAAAAATCTGTTTACTTTAAAAATAATAAATAAATACAGGAAAAAAAAACCTCCCATGTTTCCTCAATTTTTAAAAAATTCACTAGGATCTTATATAAATATTTAGTCTCCACCTCAAGTTGCCATGACATCGCATTACGTAATCACTAACGGAAAAAGGGTTTCATTTTTTTTTTATCTGTAGTCAAACTAACAAAAATGGAGGCTGAACCCTAATCAATTTGCGCTCATAGACACAGATATGGGTTCGTGGGTGTAGCCAGTAGATTACATGGGTTTTCATAGAATGTAAATAATAATAATAATAATAATAATAATAAAAAATACTGATCAAATTAATTATGTCTCAAAACAAATATTTTGCTACCAGTTTTTAAAATTTTGGTTCATTAATTTTGTGTATGTTTCCTATAATGCATATAATATTAATACAACTTCATTACATCCACAGTATGAGTATATTGTATACAGTATACATATTTTTCTCCCATTTGCAAATTGTTTAATTTTGTTATGTTTAAAGGTTAGGCCACATTTTTTATGTAGGTCATTTAATTCTCCTAAGAATTTTTTTGATATATGGTAATTTGTTATTATCTCTGTATATATTGCTATTCGTGTGATTGTAAATTGTAAATTTTTTTTTTTGTAAATTTTTTGTAAATTCTACTACAAAATTCAATAAACAGTGTTAAGAAAAATGATCCTAAGGATTTCACAATTCACCTCGGACTTAAAGGTTTCCTCAGCTCTAACTGACTCCTGGAAAATGTTGGCCAAACCCAGATGACTCACGTACCCACCCGTTTGCACTTCACCCAAGTAAACACCGAATATAGTTCATGAGTTAAGAGCGTGGAGCCCTGTTTTGTGTTACTACAACTTCATCAGGTTAAGAACCTATTTTGTATGGATTAAACTTACATTTTAAGTTCCCACGGGCCATACAAAACGACTTGGCGGACCGCATTTGAGTTTGACACACGTGACTTCCAGAATAATTACATAAAATGTTTTACATACAGGATGACAATGCAACTGTCTTTCAGAAACCAGTGCAGGATGACAATGCAATACAATGCAACTGTCTTTCAGAAACCAGTCCGGTTGCAAACTCCTGAACCTCTCCGTACTTTAAATACACTTAAATAGGTAGGGCAACTTTAGAATCCTCAGTGTAACCTTTGGACTAAGGGCCGAACGACGAACATGTCTGGACCAAAGCTGTCAATGTTTTTTTTAAAACACAAAAATACGTTTCGGGTGAAAACCCTGGTTTATGTAACGCAGTGTTTACGGACCGTTTCCATTCCCGCCTCGGGAGACCAACAGCTAATCAACAAAAAGCCTTTCAGGTGTTTTACCTTAATGTCAACACACACACACACTCACTCACACGCCAACACACAAGCACAAACGCACACAAATACAGATATACTCTCATATTATTATGAGAGTATAGTTAATTAGATACATGGTATCTTAATAGGTACCATGTATCGGTATTTTTAAGTTAAAACAAATCGTACTTACCAAACTTAGCGCGAAGACGCAACAGACGAAAATGTAGCAACCAACAAAAAAATGTTCTATTTTCCCGTGCGTCACACAAACATGGCAACGCCTCTGCTTCTTCTACGTTTTCAGTTCAACCCACAAAAATAAAAATAAAAAACTATTGGAGAGTTCAGCTTTATCTTCAACGACTTTTTTTTGTGTCGCCGTTTTCCTGACGTTGGGAGAAACAGCAGTAGCTGCAGCCAGCCAGCGCAGGGGAAGGGCACGTTTCCCGGAAATGTGGATACCAGGGTGGAGTTGACGCGCACGCATGTTTAGTTGACGCGCACGCAGTTGACGCGCACGCCTGTTTTCCAAGAGTGTCAGTAGCTCACTAAGAGCCTTGTTGTAGTTAGTAAGTAAATAGAACGTTGTAAAAAGAAGTGACTTCCTCTTTTTAAACGTCACCACACACGGTTTTAAAAATATCCTGCGTAAAGTTGAAATGCCTGTTACTTGCAGTGGCGGCTCCAGAACATTTTGCACAGGGGTGGCAAGACTAAAAGTCTTCAGGTGGCACATAATAAAATAAAATAAAATAAAATAAAATAAAATAATGAAAACTTAACCGCGTTCCAGAAATTCTATTATGTTGTTGAATATAACTGTACAAACACATGCAGTTAAGTTTGTAATTTGTGCGCATGTTGTACGTAGATAAATACCGCTAGAGACCAAGTGAAAAATATATCTGTATAAATGTCTCATGTAATACTCCGATAAAAATCAGTTGTATTTATTTCATTCTCCTGGGAATAAGTTAAATATATAAATAGGTTATTGGAATGTATAAATATTTTGTTAAAATTGTGTGAATTTAAAAAAATATATGTAATTTTAAGAGTTTATGACCTTTTAAGATTTTTTTTATAGGTTTTCTATTTTGTATTTTCTACTTTTTCTGTAAAACGACTGACCTGTTTTTTTATTTTACATTTTTTGGGGCTATTGATCTATTTTTGTTACATCTGATTTCAATTTCCCAAGTCATTGAGAGTGTCAATTTACTTATCTTTACCGCTAAAATGTATTAATGTATTATTCAATTTTTTTTTTCTGTAAAATATTCAACAGTTTTCTTTTTACTATATATCTTAAGACAATCTTGAACGCCTAAAATCCTGTGTTGTTACTGGTGGTAAAACAGTTCATGTCTGCATTTGGCAAAAAAGCATCAATATTAACATAATAAAATTACAATATTATTAAACGGACAAATTAAACACACTCACCAAAACTTCTGGTCTGTGTTCCAGATTTATCATCAATTAATTTGCAAAAGCTAGCATAGGAATCATTTAAAAATTCTATAAAACATGTTTTTAAAAATATGATTCTTCAGAAACACAGCATTTCATTTACTTGCTTCACTAATTTGTTACAAACAACAACAACAGAACTGTGCTGTTGGAAGACTAAAAATGTATCAATTTATTGTAAATCATAAAGTGACTGCATAAACATATCACAATGACACGAGTTCAACATCCAGTCAGCTTAAACAAACCTCAGAACCAGCTTCTTGGTAAGAGTGTATTTCGGCTCAGGCATTTGTTTCCGACTCTTGTACAGTCCCTTGCTGACGTTTCTATTCACACGTGTCAGAACGGTTAGAATATCGTCCCTCTCGGGGCTGCAACGATAGCAGAAACACATTGTAAACTATCAAGCAAAAGCTTCATGTCTGTGTAATCTTAAAGAACCTTATTCAAATAAATAAAAATTAATTTGAATTCCCTGTAAGGGTTTCATGCTTTTAGTCCAGAAATGGCTATAAATAACAAAATAGCTAAAAGTAAAAAAAAATAACATTAGCTACATACAATTGCTCAAAGGAAAATAGAAGCCTAAAACTACCACACAATTATGTTAAGACATCACATTTAAGTCGAGAAATATCAAAACATTAAACGAAAATGCATGTTATGTGCATTGCGATGCTTAACATAAACAAAAACCTAAATTAAAAAAAAGCTCTAAATGACCCATTGAACTAAACCAGGCATGGGCAAACTAAGGCTTGGGGGCCGGATGCGGCCCGTTCTGCTTTTTAATCCAGCCATTAATTTATATCAACATTATACTTCTGCCTTTTCCCTGCAATACCAACGTTTCGTCAATAGAGGTCGTAGAAAATGCTATAACCAATTTAGTATTTTAGCCTTTATGCATGACTTTTACATGTCATTTATCTTAATTCACAAGACAATCCATTATATGCTCCTGACCCGGCCCCCCCCCCCTGTACAATTTTAGGACAATTGTGGCACACTAGTCAATGTTGTCACTCTATTCAAAGTAGCACCACACAGGCCAGACTTTGGATATGTCTGGTATGATGACGTGTTTGAGAACCTGACCCACCTTTCTGCTGCTTCGAGCAGCTGTTTGCACAGCTCCTGGATGTAGATGGAGCCCGAATAAATGTTTCGAAATGATCGGCACTCGGGCACAGTCGCCATGCCCAACAGAAAGTCGGCATCCCAGGGCACAGTCTCGCCCTGGATAGGCCCTGCGTCTTCTTCTATGGTCTGTTCAACCTCCTCTTCCTCCTTCGAATTTGGGGGACATGGAAGGACTCCTCCCTGGTAGGCATTTCCTTGGCAGGCCTGGATAAAGAAGAGTTTGGGCTTCCCAGCAAGCGTGGGGACTCTACAGCTCTTAAAAGGCTGAGTCAGTTCTCGGAGAAGCACCCGCTGCTCATTGGTCCCATAGATGCATCCCACATCTCCGTGGGAAAGTACGCACACCACCTGAAACCGAGGGCGAACATGTAAGGTTATATGGGGAAAAAAAACCTTTTTGTTTTTCACTTTGATAATAACAGGTTTTTGACAATCAGGACAACCAGTCAGGAAACTGCATTTAGTAGAAGAGATACTATAATTTCAGGAATATAAGTCGCACTTTTTTTCATCCTTTGGCGTGGCTTTGCGACTCATTCTTGTACCACTGAAAATTTTACATTTTTCGTTATTTTCACACTGACAGCCGCTAGAGGGCGCTCTAGCTGGCTGGTGAGACCTATAGTCTGGAGCAACTTATGATCCGGGATAATGCGATTAATATAGAGCAGTGGTTCTCGATTATTTTCTCCTATGCGCCCCCCCCCAAAGCCCACCCCCCCTGACCTACACACTCGCCAATTGAGAACCTTATAACACTTATATTTTTATCTGTACAAACCAACTGTATGAGTTGCTGCCACCTAGTGACTGGATGCTCGTTATCATTCAAGCATTACAGCAGTGGTACACTTATGTCCAGTGTGCCATATTCCACTGCAAGCCCCTCACGCCCCCCCCCCCGGGGGCTCGCCCCACAATTTTGAGAAGCACTGATATAGATAGAGAAATCAAGGCACTAGGTAAGATGAAAACAGGTGTTTTGCGCTGGCTACTTTGGACCATAACAGCTAAAAGAAGAGGATGTATCGATAGTTATTCCTGGGAAATTTGTGTTATTACTTACTAAGGCGTCGTGGTCGACGAAATTGTTTTTGCTCAGCTCTGCTAGCTTAGATCGTATGCCATCAGCAGTCAGGTTATCGTAAATCAACACAGTAAAGCCAAGGCGGGTGAACACTGAACGCAGACCCTCTGTATCACAAACAAAGGGGAATACAACAAAGAACATCAGCAAGTTTCATAAAGTAGTGAGTATAGTGTTATATATAAATATATACATGAAGATATATATATATATAAATATATTTACTTGAATCTTCCTGAGTTCCAGGTCTGTCTCCCAAACCCCCTCTAAATTTCTCGTTGTTAAAGACCACGCACAAACCATGGGGATTGTGATCCAAGGAATAGAAATCTGTCTGGAAGCAACGTAAGAAGTCATAGATGTAAACTTTTGTTTTGGACAGCAATGAAATATATGTTTCCTCGTGTGGACAGTTACCTTGTCAAGAGGCTTGACTGACTGGTTTGGATGTGCATCTGAGTAAATTGTGTTTTCATCTAAAATAGAGATGTTTTTTTTTTATTATTATTTATTTTAATAGTGTGAAACTGAGTAAGTAAATGGCTGAATGTCAATGAAGCGATGCCTTAATCCTAACAAAAAAAAGAGATACTTACAACTTGGCCGGGACTCAGACATGGACTCAAGTTGTGGATTGGAAGAGATAGTGGACCTCTGTAAAAGGGACAAGGGTAAATGCCTGCCGATGGAAACATGTTCTCACAGCGTGTAAAGTACAAATGCACAGACTTACCTCGTAATCCACATTGATGCGAGGAAGAATTCTCGGTTGTTCCTCGTCATTAACATGTGCCATCTGTTCCATGTAGCGCTGCACAATCATTGCCAGTTGTTGATCCATATTCAGCAGATCTCTATGCAGCTCACTAACATTTGTACCGGACAAAAAACCAGCCTGTTCAAGCTCTGCAAATAAATCCAGGGCAGTCTGAAAATTCACAGACAACACTTGGTCGAGTCGTTGTTTATTTGAGAGGCACATTCCTCAAAGGGAACTAAAATCCATCGACCTACCTACCTATCTATCTATGTATCTATCTATCTATCTATCTGTATATCTATAAATCTATCTATCTGTATATCTATACATCTATCAACTGAAAATACAGTCAGGTAAAATACTTCCCTCTATTTGGTGGGCTGCATTTGCTTACTATGGATTAAGAGGTTAACAGAGAAATTGCACGACGTGGTATAAATGGCACAAATCATAAACCTTACTTGGATTTAAATTTCAAAGAAAAATTAAGATTGTGTTGTTGTTGTGTAAAAGTGAGTGCAGGGAGTTAATAAGTAAAGACACCAGTGGTTGGTCTGTTATCACCTTGCTGGCTTCAATCTGTCTTCTCTCCAGCCTGTTTCCCAGTAGAAACTTGTATGTTTTCAGATTCATTTTCGTCATGTCATCGTATATTTTGTACAACATTTTCCTGGCGGCGAGAGAACAACACAAAAACAAATGAAACAACCAAACTCAATGTGGTCAAACGTTGTCCTTATAAAAGAGTTTATGAATTATTTCCGTGTGATTACCTGTATGGTGACAGGACGGGAACTGCATCTGTTTCCTCCTGTGACCAGTTTTCCCCTTTCAGGAGGTCAAGGAGATCTACTCGGCGTAGAGTTTCAAGAAGCTGAGAGAGGAAAACATGGTTCTCCAGGAGACCCACTTCTTGAAGTCTAATAAAAAGCTCTTTGGCATCAGAGATCTAAGCACACAAGGCAGCGTAGATCAATAACTACCATCGATTTTAAAGTACACAGTCATTTAATAAAACAAATATATTGGCAAAAATGAATTAATTGTTTATGATATCAAAATGATAGATCTAAAAACCAAAGTTTGCTTTAAAGATAAAAAAAAAAAACAAAACATCTGAAATTGTACATGCATATTGTATGCCCAAAATATACTTTTTTTTATTGACACTGAACCAACCATTGTACCAACTTAATTAACAGGAAAAAAAAAAAACTTTATTCTCTAAGTTGTTAGAACATGAGCAGGGAATATTAACCAATTTGTTTTTAGAGCAAATCTAGAAAATAATAAAAATGTATCTGACGTATTGACAAGATAAAGAAATTAATGAAGCACCCTAAAGATAAAACAGAGAACTTGGAAAATGGCAACAGAACCGGGGTTGCTGATTCCAAACTCTCGTAAGATTGGAATAAAAAATACATGGCGTAGAAAACGATTGAAGCATTTTAGCATTTAGCCTTTATGCATGAACACGAACACTCCATCTGTGGCCTGCTAGTTGAAAGGTTTGCCCACGCCTAAACTAGATATTAGCCTCACAGTGGATAAACACGTCATCCATGTCAGCCATTGTCATCCATTTTGAGAATGGTTCCATAGTGTAACGGTTAGCCCGCCAGCCTTACAAGCAGTACTCACGGTATTATTAATTATATATATTTTTTCCATTACTTTCTATTTAAATTAGAATATACTGATGTGTATTTTTACAATGACATGCTCTCTTGGCTTACATTAAAGGCAGATACAAAGAACTATTTACTTTACTCATTCAAGGGCTCCTGGAGAAACTTTGATATACAGAGCTTACCTTCTCCAGATGTTTCTTATTGACGAAATCACGACACAAGAAGCAGAGTTCTTCCACCTCAGAGGAGGAAAGCTGATCATCTATGCGGCACAGTGTCAGAAAATCCATCATAGACTCTCTTCTTCCTGTAGTCTGAGGTTCTGGAGAGGCCAGAATATCTAGCACACAAGGGAAAGTCAAAAAGCAAAAAAAAAAAATATATATTTTAGTGATGTCAAAATGAATGCCTTAATACAAGATAAGGAAACAGGAAAGTGTTTAGCAATGTGGCTCACCTTATACTGTTTCTGAGTTCATATTAAAATATTTAGTTTCACCTAAAGACGTTTGTAATTATACCTACTTACAGTAGGTCACTTAGGTAGTTTTTACTAGCACGAGAGCCTGTGTAAAGACATAACTTTAAGCGGTGTTTGCCGGTGTCTATTGTACATATAAATACTCACTTTGGCTTACTTCGAGCGTTATCCAACCCAACCTTTGGTTATTTATTAGTTTTATTGTAATTCCTTTAAGCAGTTTCGCGGCGTCACAGGAGGAGTAGACACGGTTACGTTTACAGTTCTAGAATGTACCACGAACCTACAAGGCAGTAAAACTATGAAAGCCCTCACGGGGATGTCTTGACATGTCTTCGCTGATTCTAACCCGAGTAAACGAAACAAAAACAATTATTACGGTTTCTCATTAATATATACAGTTGTTTTTAAGCAAATGGAACAAAAACTAAAACTTTGTCGCTACGCTATAACAGCTTTAAGATATATACCGGTAATGTTTCACCAACTTAAACATTTCTTACCTCTTACAGTGTAGCCTTCTCTCTCACTTGTAACTTTACGTTGGAAAAACACTTTTTCTAACTTGCCATAACCATTGCTTTCACTTTCAGAGCAAGGGTAAGCTGGACTTTGTCGAATTCCTTTGGAAGAGGTTCGTTAAACATACTATGTTTAACGAATGATAAAACTACTTCCGCAATCTTCACATTAAAAGTCCAATGCATACACAACGCATGCGCAGCCGTGGTTAAAATAAATAAAACAGCTACGGTAGCGTTACTGGTGATTAGCCACTATGCACTATGTTCACTAAACATGTAGTTGTAGTACGTGCGTCAATATGGTGGTATACTTTACAATGTATGGGCTTTTATTTTTTAAAGACAGACTGATAGACTTATAAAGACCTCAAACTAACACCTTAAACGTAAAGAAAAATCCACTGGAAAGGTTGTAAAAATAATGACGAAGAAAAAAAGTGTAGTTTTTAAAAAAAAAATATATATTTACATGTATTTGATTTGAATAATTTTAAAATTATATTTACATGTATTTGATTTGAATAATTCTTTTGCACAGCGTTTTTACTTGTACTCTCTGCTTCAAACTGTTATTCCTCTTATTCATTTGCCCAAAAGGCCACATGGAAAATGTCAATGATCTTAGCCGGACAGAATAAATATGCTTAAATATACTTCGTCGAAGTCAAATGACAAGTTGTTAAATGACGTCATCACACGACAGAGGAGGAGCTTGTAACTCCCCCACGCATTACCTACTTTCGCAGCTTGTGCTAAATGGAGATAACACAGCAAACAGTTGTTCCATCAGCCCCCAGTGAGATGTCCACATGTCAAGTGACTTTTTTTTTTTTTTTTTTTTTACTTTTGGCTTCGTGACAGTCGCCAGGACGAAACTGCACCGGGTTCCTCTGCCCATATATGGGCATATATGGTTTACATGCTACAAGTACACTACTACTAAGTACAAGTCTATGGCAGGGAGGGGGAGTTGGGGGAGGTATTGCAAGGATATTTGACAAAACAGCACTAGCTTTTTTCCCCCTTCACTTTCAACATATCAAGTTTATCAAGTGGGCTGTATTAGCCTTATTATATTGAACCACCTTCTGCCTCCTCCATAAACCCACAGACTTACACACTCTCCATCACTGTGGGGGTTTTTTGTACCAAATCCAAATGTAGACAGAGACAAAGTACAAGCTATAAACATTGTTAAAAACCTTCTTTAATTTTGGACAGTTTCATTGCCGGCTATCCAGTAGTGAACATTCCAAATGTAAGCATCACGCCCAATACATAATTACACCATTAGAGGTAGTTCAAGACTGTACTAAGACACGCTGTTAGTTACAGACGTTTATTAGAAACCGCTCACTGCACGCTCCGGCGTGCGATGTTGTATTTCAAATAAAGCTAATTACATCTAAAATGTGGTCGTAAAAAAAACAACGCTGCGCTGAGATCAAGAGCTGTTTTCCGGGGTTGCCTTTTTGAGCGGCGGTGCGTTGTGGTGCGATTCGGTCGAACGGTAACACACGAACTGAAGGAAGTACTTTCGGGCGAACTGGAAGACGTCGTCTGGTTTCCTCAGCAACAAGAACTGCAGGAAGTCTGACACAAGCGAACGGATCTCCGGGTGCTGCCTCAGGTACGAGGCATGGCTGGTCTTTATATTGTCCTTTGGCAGAGGGGACGGAAAGACAACAGAGAGTTCAAAATACACAAACATAAACTCTCAAATATTAGTAGGATACACGTCGGACCGGGGTTTACCTTTCTGTCCAGAAATTCGGATCGCATTAGCATATCTTTTTCCCAATGCAGGGGGACTTTCTGAAAATCTAAAATACACACAGACAGCCAATGTGACACAGCCTGAAGTAGTCTGTTTTTTAAAAAAAAAAACGTTTTGACTGTGTGTGGGTGTGTGTTACCTTTTTCTTGCTGCGACGGCAGCTGCAGAAGTTTCATAGTGACTGGTGATCCCACGTGTACTCGACTGGCCAAATGCCTGGTCAGAATGCATAAACCAAAGTACGTGTTCAAAGTTAATACAAATGGAAATGAACCCCCAAAGGAGGATTAAAAAAAACGATGACAATTAAACAGATTATTAATTATGAATATATCATTATCCAGCAAAGAGCTGAGGGAGGTAATGACAGAAAACAATTAAGAACCTCAGATTTAATGACAACCGCTTTGAAAGGTTCATTCTCAGGGTTAACTTAGCAGCTGGTGGACTCGGGAACCTGAAACCTTCCAGACAGACCCGAGTCCACGTTCCGTAACCACCAAGCGACCGCTACACCACGTACCATTTTGGCCAGCGCCCTGGTGGACTGTTATACCAGGAATGCACGAAGCACTTGGGACTTACCCATCTTCCAGGAAGTAGCAGTGCCAGGAGGAGGAACTGTTCTCCGAGAGGTGACTTGTTTTCCGTATTCCAAACACCTCCGCGGCGTTCCCACCCACATCCAGCTGCTTTAGACCCAGCTCACTCTGAGAACAGAAAGAAGGGTCATTAAACGCAACAACACATCAGAGACAAACTTGGACCCTTGGGGGGGAAACTAACAAAGGTGGAGTGGACCATGCGCAATCCCTGGTTGAAGGAGATGAAGACCATGTGATCCGGGACCTTCTTCCGCGTAACAAAGAGCCGCATGAGGAGAAGGATGGAGCCCTCCGTCACCAGACCTCTCAGATCAGACAGTGGGTAGGAAAAGGTCTCTTTCTTTACATTCTGTGCATACACATACAAAAAAAAAAAAAAAAAAAAACATACACATACAAAATAAAATAAAAAATAAAAAAATTACACACAATTATGTGTCTAGTTCTATTAAGCCTACAGACCAGTGTCTCCCAAACGTTTTTTTTTCTGGGGACTCTATATTTTAAAAGTCACAAACTTTGGCGACCCAAGGAAATAGACATTATTGGTAAATCACAAAATACATATGTACTTGACCATTATTGAACATTAACGATAGACATTATTATAGACAAAATAGACAAAATAAATGTGTACTTGACCATTATTGAACATTAACGAGGATATTTCATTGTTGACCGAGTGATATCCGAACACTTAGCATTACTCAAGTTTTTAAACAACATGAAACGCAATACTCAAGTTTTTAAACAACATGAAACGTAGTAATCGTAGTAATTGAACCAGCAAAAAAAGGTATCCATAAGTAGCCTTTTTGGGGTCACGACCCAGTCTTTGGGAAACAATGTCGGGACTTATTTTCTATTTTTTTTTCCATGACAATGTTATATACACACATCTTCCCATCAAAAATATATATATATATTTTTTTGTATTCACGTACTGCTAAATTGTTCACAAATCAACTCCTTTTATTTTTGCTCGTCTCACCATTCCAACAGTAGTCACCGTGTCGAACACCATCTGCCCGTCCCGCTGCACCGTACGGCAGCTCTTCTCCATCTTTTGGCCTTTGAGCTGATGAGTTAGTGCAACGAGAACCAATGAGTTTAAACAGTAGCAATAGCGGACGCTGGCGTTACGGGTTATGTGCGAAGAAAAGAAGTGACTCACGTGGACATACTCGTAATAATCCTCCTGCAGAACCTCCAGGTCAGTGGTCAGGTAGGCTGAATATCATGAAATCATACATAACATAATTTACGCAACACTGTACATATAACAGTTATAAAGAAACACAATCAAAAGCGACACAAAAATAACACATAAACAAGATAGAGAAACAGAAACAAACTGCAGGAATGTTTGCATTTTTTTCAGAACAATTTCACATTGTTTTTGTTCATACAGTTAAGGAGCAGAGCCCATAAGAACCATCTCTATCAAAAGAGACAAAATTCCAACCACTAATAACGCAATCTTAAACGAAAAACACAACCTAAATCCAAACCAAATAAACCACCGTATTTTCCCGAAACCATAAGTCGTACTTTTTTTCACCCTTTGACTGGGTTTGCGACTTACACTCAGGTGCGACTTATTATTTTCACACTGACAGCCACTAGAGGGCGCGCTAGCAGGCTGGTGCGACTTATACTCTGGAACGAAAACTAAGAGGAAAATGTTGACAAGTAAATGACATTGGAATTGAGACCGTGAGCTGTGTGAGAATAACAAACACGTACATTTTCAGCTGTACAGGTGCAGCAGATGCTGTTACACGAGCCTAGAGTGCCCTCTAGTGGCTGTCAGTGTGAAAAATAACCAACGTGAAATTATATATTTTAATATATAAATTGCATCTGCCCATCGCCCAGCCAAAGAATGGAAGGATGAAAAGTCCAAAAAAAAAAAAATACAATAGTCACTTGCTGGCTATAGAGCAGGGGTGGCCAACCAGTCAAGAGGCTGGTTTTGGACATGTGCGGAGGAGGGACAGTGGATACATTGGTAAAAGAATGCTAGAGATGGAACTGCCAGTTAGGAGACAAAGAGGAAGGTTAAAGAAGAGATATGTGGATGTAGTGAGGGAGGACATAGTTTGAGTCATAGTGTAGAAGATACAGAGAACAGGAAGAGATGGAATGATGCAATGATTCGCTGTTGCAACCCCTGAAAACGGAACAAAGCCGAAAGAAGACGAAGAAGAAGAAGAAGACATGAACTGCTCCATCCCTTTAAAAAAAAATAAAATAAAATAAAACTCTCCCACTCTTTTTAAAACTTCCTCTATACATGTTTTCATCTTTGTGAATTGGGGTTTCCCTAGGTAATTTGCGTCAACGCCCATCGGCAGGAGAGTAAAAAAAAAAAGCACAAATATAAAATTTGAGACATGAACGTGGCTCCCGAGCCTCAGTGTTGGCCACGCTACAAGAGGGTCCACTGGCTGGAAGTGGGCCTTTTGCAGGGACATTGAAACGCCCTGGGTTGACGAGTGGCTGAAATGGCTAATGCAATTTCACCTACGCGCCCTGTTCCCTCCACTCACTTGTCACTGTTGTTCCACAAGGATTGTCGTCGATAGTTCCCTGGCTTTCGGCATGGAGAAGCACGCAGGACTGCTGAAATTTGCGGGCAAATTCCACCGTGACGTGGAAGCCGCCGAGCTCTCTGCCACTCTCAGACACGCTCACCAGAGAGTCTCGAAACACACACTTTAGCAGCTCGGCCGGTTCTGTAGAGAGGCAGGCAGCGGACAACTTGTTATGGAATATGATTGATGAAGTTGTGCAAAAAAAACTTTGTGTTGAGTTGCATCAAAACACACGAAATATCAGGACTCTAATATGATTTAGTTTTGTGCATTGGGATATTTGTAGTGCAGTATGTCAGTGTGTTCACTAGGTGGCACTGTAGCTCTATTATTGTATTAATGTGTTGGCGTTGGAACGCAGGTTAATAAATGGACTGACAGACGAGACTTCGTGCAGTTTTACGATAGCAAAAAAAAAAAAAGGTTAGCGCTTCATAAGGTGAAGGTGCTAAACTCATACTGTATCTGCCGACGCCGGCTTCTTCTGATAGAGATATTGTTACATTTGTATCTTTAATAAAACAATATCATGAAATAACTTTGGACATGTGGCCACAAACCCCCCCCTAAAAAAAATGATATTTTGTCCTTATAGCTGTATTTTTTTTTGTTTGTTTCATGATACGGAACTGCTATGTGCTTACAGTAATGCAGTTGTAGATGTGTCAAATCCAGGTGGTGCTGCTGACTCTAAACAGGCAGCGGAACATGACTTCGGAACTGACTCGCAGCTCACTCACCAATGGAGGTCATGAAAGTGACGGCCTGGTCAGAGGCTTTAAGAGGTCCCGTTTGTTGTTCTTCGTGTCCCGGAGATTCTCTCCCTCCTGACGCCACAGCCACAAACTCATCTTTCGGCGCAGCTGCCATAAAAATATTCCCTTCCTAGTTCTTCGACAAAAAGGGTTTTCAGCACGACCTCGAAAAGTCTCAATAAGTAAGTTTTACTTTCGTTTTGATTTGTTGAGTATTTCTCATCATTTTCAAATCGATATATTTGTTTAATCCTGGAGGACCTGCAGCGTGTCCTATTATGGAAAAAGACGTGCGTTACGGTTGTCGTGACAACGAAAGCACGTAGCCGTAACTTCGGCTATCTGCGCGCAAAGAAAGTACCGTAATACATTAATATGCCTAATACAAGAAACCCGGAATTTGACCGACAATCTCGTTTGCTCACAATGACATTTTTATAAAACCTTAAGATGAATTAAATATATCGAACTATTTTATTACATATACACTATTTTACTTTTATGCTAATACCGTATTATTAGTACTATATTCATACCTTGCAACTTAATGTATTACTGCTATTTTATATTATATTATATTGATTGGTTGCACATATTAAGTTTTCTAAATGTTCTAAATGATATTTGATCAGAAATATATTGCTCCGTTTCTTGTTAGCATAAACAAAATGTCAATACAAAAGTTATTTTTTTTTAATAAAAAATATAAAATTGCAAGTGGTCTTCAGTTAACGACATCCTTGACCTAGTGGTCACCCCCGCCATCTCGCGTATATTTATGAAAAAACAAACAAACAAAAAAAAAAACAACCCAACCTGTTTCATCATTTTGATGTACACATTTGACATTGTTTTCGTACATCGCACAGCGACATATGCCAAAGGAAGTCTTGGTTACATTATTTTTGAAAAAAAAAAAAAAAAAAAAAAAAAACCCAAATAATGCACATTGTGTTTACTAAAATGAGTACGAGCGTCTACAGCTGGAGTAACATAGTGAAACTAATTGAACAATTTGACACCCATTTCCACTAAAAACAAACCATCTCTTAGGTGGCCACTGGAGGGCGGTGCAGAGCAGTATTTTTTTGTGTCTAGGGTGACTACAAGCACGTAATAAAAATACACGTCACTCTGGAAAGACACATTAGAAAAGTCTAAATCTAATAAAACGAAAAAAATCTAAATCCTTTAAGATATAAATTACAATTATTAAACTTACAACTACAAATATATAACAACACAAACCACATTAAAAAAAGTGCTTATTCATCAAATTGTCTAACATTTTCTCAAAACTGATAAAGTATTTAAATCAGGCATGTGCAAACTAAGGCCCGGGAGTCCGGGTTCAGCTTTTTAATCCGGCCTGCCAAATATTCCAAATGATATAATCCAAATTATTTACATTATTATTATTATAGGTCTGCCTTCTCCCTGCAACACCTACGTTTCCCCAAAAGACGGCGTAGAAAATGATGAAATCATTTCAGCCTTTATGCATGACTTTTCTTAGTTCACACAAACGCTCCTTCTATCTGACCCGGGCCTCCTGTTCAATTTTAGGACCAATTGTGGCCCGTTTTCCCACGCCTGATTTAGACTTTGCCACCCTGGAAATCTTAAGTGTTTGTATTGGAAAATATATCTTCACTACAGTTAAGAGCATCATTCTAAACCAACACTGTACCTAAAGTCTACTTTTGTTTTGCTAGACATCTGGTGACAAGAGGAGCGTCTTCCGTAGGGTGAAACGAACTTCAGGCATCTGCTTTACAGCTCCAGGTTTTCCGAGGCATTCTCTCTGACTCACCTGATTGTTCACACGGCTGAGGATAGTCGCAAGATCTTCGTGCCTTAAAGAAAATAAGTTTATCCCAATACATTTTAATATTCTGGTATAAATGAGGGAATAGAGAGAAAAAAAAAAAAAGAAAATAAATAAATATCTACCTCAAACAGCCCTCCTTCAGCTGCTCACACACGGATTGGATAAACCAGCTTCCATCCTTTTTGTGTCGAAATGATACATAATCTTCAACAGTGGCAACGGCAACCAGCACATCAGCTTCTTCAGGCACGAATGGTGACGCGGCATCGGCCTCAAGATCTTTTACTAAAACCCCACGCTGACACAAGGAACCCTGGCACGCTTGGATAAGAAACACTTTCGGTTTCCCACCGAGAGGAGACTCGTCGGTCGACCCGAATGTTCTAGTAATGTTTTTAATGGAAATAGGGTTCCGGTCGGTCCCGAAGACGGCGCCCTTTTCGCCGTGGCTCAGGATACAACACACGAAGGCATCTCCGTGCCTGGGAGCCTGCCGAAGATCCACAAATCCGCTCGTCATCCACTCTTTCACATCTAACCCTTGCAGCTGAGAGAGGTCACGGGGGGAAGCAAAGCAGCTTAAAGTCCGTCGCATCTGGTCTTGGGTTTGGTCTTTACACATCAACACTCTAAACCGCAGCCAGCTGAAAACTTCTGCCAAGCTTTCTATTAAAAAAAAACAAAAAAAACAAACACAAGTCAACAACAACAAACAACACACATTATAAAAAAAAAAAAAAAACTGGAACTACTCTGTGATTTACACTTACGGACATCTTTGTTGGTCCCACTTCTCTTGCTTCCATCTTGAAAATTCTCATTGTCTATGATCAAACAGACACCCACGGGGTTGCCATTCAACTGGTACTGCTGCTCCTAAAGCAGTCAAAACAGACACGTACATTTTATTTTTTTTAAGGTTTACTAAAATACAATGGAAATATGATGCTCCATAGAAAAACTATAAAATGTCTATGTCTAAAATGTTGCTCCAAGACTAATCATTAACAGGTTCTATTATATTTTCTTCTCATCTCTTTACGTGTCTATATTGTGCGGAGAAATCCCACTTCAAACCGCCATAGGACATTTCTTAATCTTGTGCACCCCAAGTGGCAGGTCATGCGCACTACACCTTGTTGTCTCAAGAATGCATATAATGAATGCATAGAATATTAGCATAAACCAACCACAGGGCTTTGGCACACACGCAGGAGAAAAAAAAAAAAAAAAAAACACTTTTTGAATCCTTCCATGACATGTTAAAAAATTTTTTTCTTTCTTTCAATGCCTTAGTACACGTGTCAAACTCAAGGCCCGGGGGGGGGCCAAATGTGGCCCGCTAAGTCATTTTGTGTGGCCCGCGGGAGCTTAAAAAGCATTTAATAAAATCCATGCAGCAGAGTTTCTCAACCTGATAAATTAAATGTTTGGTTTTTTTTTATTACACAGAGCAATGAAAAATATTTACAGTCTGTGTATTGGGACTGAAAATGTCAGAGGGGTGGTTTCCCAGTGGTCAGTCAGAACTGAAGAAGCCTCTTGGATGAGATGCGAAACGTCTTCAAAAAAAACAAAAAAAAAAAAAAAAAACAAAACCCATCCCTGGGCACCTTAATAAAGAATCTCTCACTCACCTTCCTTGACCTTTTGGCAGCTGGTAATGGTTCATCTGTGGAAGTCAGATAACACTGTAATAATGTAGACATTAGAATCAATCAATCTATATATTTTCTGAAAAGAGACATTGCAACTGTGGTTAAAAGTTGTTGTTGTTGTCATTCCCATGCTTAAGTGTAAAGAAACCTACCGAGTGAACGTTCTTGTACAGAATTAGGTGGTAAACTTGCATCCACCTGCAGCGTGTTCTTGAGCTCGGGGTAAGTCGTTTCAATCTCCCGGTCTGTTTGCAGTACCTGAAGAAAATCCCGGCAGACTTGCTCTCCTTTGTTCATTATCTTATCCAGAAGCTCGACCGTATGGCCCTCGTCATTTTCTCTGTTGATGTTTTTAAGGTTGTTGTACTCGCGGTTACTTATCAGGTTTCTCTCATAAACCTTGTTAAGGATCAGTCTGTAGTCGGCACACAATATGCTCTGGATGGATGTTTTGTTTCGTCTCAGCGTGTCCTTGGCTGACATTATGAATCTCTGAAAAAAAAAAAAAAAATGTGAGCGACAACAATATCACAGCAGACCAAAATTATTTGTTGAAATGCAAATTAAGAGTAGCTTTTATAAACTAACAAAAATACGGCAGTTTTAGGCAAAGGTCTAAGAGAGATATGGTTATCTTAGTCCAGTAAAATAATTTTTCCTGAATTGGTCAGTTGACAAAAAGTTCATTTATTTAAAGAATTCTAAAGTAAAACTAAAAGTTAGCCCAGAAGTAGCTCATTTATAGCAAAAAGTATATAAAACGTAAATAAAATAGCCAGTTAATTACATTAGAATAAAACTGATGAACTAATGACTCAAACTGACATTAAGACATTACATAACCAATTGTTAAAAGTGAACAAACGGGTCCACGTTCTAAGAGTAGGTATTTTAGGTGGTAATTATCACTTATTAAACGTAAGGCATTTCATTTACTTATATTTATCGACGTCTGAAACAGGGCTGGGCTTTAACCATAAAGCGTTCATGCAAAGTCATATCGAAATATAATATTAATTCCGAAATTAGTTGTCTTACCTGGCAATACGTGGATGCTTTGTTGACTTACTGTCAGGAAGTGTTCAATGTGAACAGGTTTTTTTTCGAAGTGGGAGGCGCGTATATTCAGAAAGGGCTCCAGAGAGACAACAAACAAAAAAGGCGGGATTCGTTTACGAAACGGAACCACACGTTCAGATAAAACAGTTTGAAGCAAAAAAAATAAAAACAGAGAGTCGCAGTAAGAACAGCGAACATGTATTTTACGTCTAGAGCCGCAAAACGCACATTACGTCCATCTCTGGAGTGAAAACCGAGCCGTACACGGTGCAGCGGTCGGAAACGGAACTCAATGTCAATACGCAATGCATGCTTTCAAAATAAAACTCCTGCGATACCAGGCGCTGTAGCGCACTGATCCCCAACCTCCAGGTCGCGGACCGACACAGGGCCTTGGATCAATTGGTACCGGGCCGCACAGAAAGAATGAATAATTTACATTATTCCTGATTTATTTATTATTTGATTGTGAACGATGTTTTATTTTGGAAAAAATGGCAGCTCACGCACCACACCATGGGTATCCCTGGTCTAGTCATTCAAATGCTGCCCTCTTATCGTCTTATTGTTCCATTCTCTCTCAGGGAGGGAATAATCTTAGGCCAGCGGTAGCAACTTCCTATGAAATGACAGGAAAGAGCTCCAAGGTTTTGTAAAATTAAATTGAAAAAAAAAAAAAAAGAGAAAATCTTCTTCTTTATCAGGAGCTTACAGATTGAAATAAAATATGAAAAAGGAAAAAAAAAAAAAAACTTGACCTTTACTCTAGTTTTCTCTTGTGAGTAAGAAGGCTTCAATTTCCTGAAACCTGTGTACAGTTCGTGACATCTCATTACCCCCTTTTTATTCTTCTGCTTTTCTAAGAAATGTGTCATTATGAACAGAACCAAATGACAGTAACAGAACAGAGGCAAAGGAGGAGAAGGTAACAAGTCTGTTGTTGGTGTTGGTGTTTTTTTTTTTGTTTTTTGTTTTGTAAAGTGAATAGAACAATATACCAATAATTCTGTGCTTCTCAATATTCGTATAGCAAGAAACAGCTCACAGTCGACTGTAAGTGAAATGTAAGAAGTGTAATGTAGGAAGTGAACAAAAACACATATGACAAGACAAGAAAACCTTTTTTTTTCTTCACTGTTTTCAGTTCCATTTTTACATGTAGGCGTCTGAAAAGGGAAGTATAAAAGCCCAGGAAATGATTTACATTAGTCTGTTCAGTTTGTGTGTCTGTCTATCTTTTAGGTTTGCTATTATGGTGTTTCTGGTCCTTTCGATTTATTGGTCAACGTTTCTGGTTTTGTGGCCATTGCAAGGGGGTGAGTGACTTTTTAGTCAACTAATGTTAACAAGTAATAAATAGCTAACTCGTTGTTATTTGCTGCTACAAATGTAAAATAACTCAAATTCCCTCGTGTTTTTGTCCAACAGCAACCGAAAGCATCCATCGAGATGCCTGTCAAAAGGACAAGCTCCTGGATGAGGTGAGAAAACATGAACATTTGTCTCACAGACAAGCATCTGCTTGATTTAACATATCTTTCACTTTTTTTTTTTTTTTTTTTTGTATTTTTTGCTTTAACAATCGCAGCTCTGGATGCAAACGTCCTCAGGAGAGGAGTCGTATTCAGAGTTGAGTGCCTTGAAGGAAACCTTTATCTGCCTGCTTTATCAGACAAATCCTCTCAACTGCTCCTGGTCCTTCGTTTCTTTAAAGAAGGACACTCATCTTGCACTGTCTGTCAGGTATTCCTATGTCCTATTATTATTATTTTTTTTATCAAAGTGCATCTACATAATGATTTATGCAATAGAAAAAGTGTCATTTTTATACAAATTTTATATTTTATATACCATACTTTTTTTTTTACCCGCTGAACCCTGCGGCTAAAACGACGATGATGCGGCTAATTTATTGATTTTTACGGGCTAACAAAGTTCGTACCGCTAGCGATCAATGACCTTTCTGGTAGGCGACTGTGTGTTATACTAGTTGCGTATGGCTGTCTGTGAATGGCTCTGTGCGTATATGTGCGTGGGGGCGCGCGCGTGAGAGAGAGAGAAAACGCTAGTGAAGGTTCAGAGAAGATTGAGCCGTGTCATGTTGAAGCGTGAGTTGGTTTATACGGGAGCTGCTCTGTTGTGATCGGTGTGGCTGATAATAAAAACCCCAACTTCCCTGTTTCTGTTTACCTCTGCAAAGTGACAAGCACAACGTGAAGGGAGTTAGCCCCAAAGCTAATGTTAGCTTCGTCCCTGTAGCAGACCAATAAATCTCCCCTGTGCATTCCAACTACGCCAATAAATCTCCCCAAGGATGTCGTTAACTGAAGACCACTTGCCGAAACTTAGGAAATAGCTAACGTGTAACTAGCCGTGTTAAAGGCACTGTTCGCAAAGTAGCATTTATTTAATAAAAGTGAAAAATAACTTTTGTATGACATCACGTTGCATTCCAACTACGGTCAAGGTGCCGAAACTTAGGAAATAGCTAACGTGTAACTAGCCGTGTTAAAGGCACTGTTCGCAAAGTAGCATTTATTTAATAAAAGTGAAAAGTGAAAGTGAAAAATATATATTTCTGTGTAAATATCCCATGTTACCATGTGGACACCTGCTGTTTATGGAGTAGTGCAGCCTATATATGTACAATTATTTTTTTCTGCGGGTGGCTGCGGGTTATATTCAAGTGCGCTCAATAGTCCGTACGTATGTCTTTTTTTTTGCTTCATTATGCATTTGGCTGGCGTGACTTCCGGAGATTTTGTGACTCGGTGTTCTGCACAAGTTTTCATGTCCTTTTTCTCTGCTTCATTATGCATTTTTGGCTGGCGTGACTTCCGGAGCTTTTGTGACTCGGTGTTCTGCACAAGTTTTGCCTCTAACAAAAATCAAATCGATTTCAATGTTGAACACTGGAACTAAACCTAAAATACATACACTGAAATGACTTTGCATTTATATTTCTGTCCCTGGCTGTTCCTCTAGTGTTTGCAACGATAACCTCACGGTTCAGTCGCTACACGAGTCGTCTGTGGAAAGAGCTGGATGGAGGTCTTTGACCCTTCAGCAGCAGCCTGACATGCTTTATGTAGTTCTGCAATTCAACATGACTCTACACGATGAGTGGACAACTTACAGCTACATATACAACAGACACAAACTGGGTAAGAGACTCACGTAAACGTAACTGTTTTTCGAAACTAAACAGGTGTAAAAGAGATAATGAATCCAAAAAAAAAAAAAAAAAAAAAAAAAAAAATATTTAGCATAGACACGTCACCGTTGCACTAGAGATGTCCGATAATATTGGCCGACCCATATCAGTATTTCCTCCGATACTGAAAATCCGATAACGCAAAGGTCCGGTTTCGCCAGAAAGCATTTCTGCTGAAAATCTAAAATCGAATTTGTGGCATGTCTTAAGCGGGGCATAACAATGAAAGTAGGTAAAAAAGTTTTTGGTGAAAAAGGGCTGCATGTATCGGTATTGGTTGATATTGGAATTACGGTGTGCGGACAACATGGCATATTGGATAATGGCAAAAAGCTAATGTCGGACATATGTTAATGCTAATGCTAATGTTAAACATGCTTAATATGAAACTCTGGGACATATTATTTGAAGGCCCCTTTAAGTATGTGCTTCTATCCCAACGATAGGATAGACCAGGCGTAGGCAAACCTTTGTTGACTCACTGGCCACAATTGTCCTAAAATTCGTGTGATCAAAGATAAATGAGATGGAAAAGTCACGCACAAATGCTAAAATGCTTTTACAACTTTCCAGGCCATTTACTGGGGAAACATTGCAGGGATAAAAAGATAAACGGGCCGTATCCGGCCCCTAGACCTTAGTTTGCTCACGATAGACACTTCATTTTATGGTCTAGCTAGCAAATAAGGAACAATTTAAGTCTATATGTTGGTTAGATTAAATTTGTTTACAAACAAAACAAATGTTGTGGGTTGTGTTTATGGCAGAGGTGCTACCTCCATCTCCAAATATCTCGGCCGTAATCAAAGACGGAAACCTGTTAGTGACCTGGGCCCTGCCTCAAGGTGAATCCGAAGAAGAGTGCTTTGGACATCAGCTGGACCTGGGTGACCACGTACGTCACGACACCTTTATACGCTTGATTTTATAAACAACACAAAAATTCACAAATTGGATGTACAGTAATGGCCGCTACCTTAGGGAATCGATTTCGAGATGTGTTTAACCTAAAGAGGAAGTACACTCCTTAGACTCACAAAGATATACTGGCTATACATCAGGAGTGCTAGGTGTTGCAGGTGCTAGCAGACGTGCTATTTGGACTGACGCAACATAGTTCATTTATTAGCCTGACCCATCAAACTCGTAGATTGACACTGGACTGGGCCAATTTTCATTTTTGAATACCGTAATTTCCGGACTACTGAGCAAACCTGAATATAAGTCGCACCCTCTAAAATTTGTAAAAAAAAAAGAAAATTGTACATACATAGGCCGCATTCGTGCTTGTACGCAGCAGAGGTGAACAGAAACAGGGAAGTTTCTGGAAGTCTTTATTATCAGCCACACCGACCACAACAGAACATAAACAGAGTTTTAACGCACACATACGCACACAGCCATTCACAAACACACATACGCTACTAGCATAACACGCAGTAGCCTACCAGAAAAGTCATTGATCACTAGCTAGTATGAACTTTTTTTAGCCCGTAAAGATCCATAAAGCCGCAGGGTTCAAAGCGTGTGAAAAAAAGTAGCGACTTATAGTCCAGAAATTACGGTATTTCTTGGTTCTTGGTCCGTAGGTTCGTCTCCTAACTGACCAAGGGACAGGTCAAAATATTATATAATAATGACATTTTACCTACTGCTGGTCTCTCAAAAAGGTTAGACGCCGCTGTGCTATGGTATGAAGAGATGCAATGTTTGGGGAAAAACCTGTTAGAACCTTTTTCATGTTTTGAAACAGAAAGCACCCAGAAATGTGAGCCCGGAGCTGTCGTATAAAGAGCCCAGTGTGGATCCCACTCATACCTACAGGGTGAGAATACGAACAAGGAAACTGGATGAATGCTTTGGCTCGTTTGAATGGAGTGAATGGAGCCCGACTGTCAGTAAGTGGCATCTCTTAAGGTCTGGATATAATTTGTTTTTTGTTTTTTTTTTGAGGGGCAAAATATAAAATGTCCAATGAAAAGCTAAGCATCTTTATCTCTGTCACCTCAGTCACCTCGGCCTTTTGTCTTTGAGACAGAGCACATACATCATAGCAGGTCTCACTACTGTTTTATAAGCCTTTCTCTTGTCAAATTTGCTGCTGTTTCCAACAAATTGCCACGGAAATTGATTTCAATCCATTCCACCCTGACCTGCGTTTCTTCAACTCTTTTCTTTTGTGCACTCATTTCTTTTGTCTGTTTTACTGGATTGTTATAGCTAGATCATTTAAACTCATCCACCTTTACCACGTTTGAAGCTTTATTTTTCCCCCCGGGTCAACTTACATTATTTCCATTTTATTCATTATTTGATTTTGAACGATGTTTTTAGTTTGAAAATTTACCAGATTCTCTCTCTCTCTCTCTCGCATCTGTCTATGACTCACACTTGCCTCGGTCACATGACTTACCTACATCTGCTACCTTCTGAAATGGTCTGGTCCGGCCGGTAACACATAATAAATTACCGCTAAATGGAGAACCGCCAAACTAGCAAAATGAACAGAAAACAAACGTTTTTTGCGCAGGGTGAAAGAGCCAGTTAGCGCTAGCCCAAACCAATTGACCCGCGGCCTGGGGGTTCGAGACCACTTTTTTGCGCAGGGTGAAAGAGCCAGTTAGCGCTAGCCCAAACCAATTGACCCGCGGCCTGGGGGTTCGAGACCACTGATATAGTGCATACACTGCTAATACTGTTTGATGCCAGTATATAGCAGCTACATACTGGCGGGCCAGCTCTAATACACATTTGATATGATCTTGAGGACCAAATATAATTACACCGTGGGCCAGATTTGGACCGTGGGCCTGAGTTTGACGGCCGTGCCTTAGTTGGAAAAACTCACCATAATTGTCCAATTTATCATCCGTCGCATGAATAACTCCCAATTTTTTTCCCCAAGATTTGGAGATCGCATCTTAGCTGGAAATTAGATAATAGAACTATGGCAGTAAAAGTAGACGCAAGAATGTTTAAAGATGAAAATATAGACATTAAACTCACAATAATGTCCTTGTCCTTTCAGTAATCGTTTTTGAGAAAGACAAACAAGTCGTCTCCTCTTTGACGGTTTCATCGTGTGATTGCGATTGTGTTTGCAGTTATTGAGCGGTCGCCCGAACTTAACACCACGTGTCTCGTCGTTATGCTGTGCGGAATACCCATGATTCTCCTGGCCGTGCTGCTGATAGTGTACCATCAGAGGTATAACAAACACACACATTTGTGTTTTTTAAAAGACAATCTTTAAATTCTTTCTCTCTCCCTTTCCTCACCTTTCTCACTCTGTACGTTTGTTTCAGGATTGTCAAACTTCTGTTTACTCCGATCCCTTGCCCTCCACCGAGGTACATATACTTTTTGGAAAAAGGCAACACATTCCCTGTGAGTAAAGTTGTTTGTTTTTTTTCTTCGTACCTACTGTTATGACAAAATTATATTCTGTGTTATTATTCATCTTTGACTTGTACTGAACCACACGTAGTCAGTGGAAAAACACCGAAACGACTAGCCTGACCTTATGCGTCGCTAGCCAGTGATGGGAAATGCTACTCTTTATTGTTTCTCCGGCTCCTACAGGGCCTTGAAAACTGTATTCTCATTAAAGCTTCGACAAGAACGTTCAATAAATTCTCCGCTAAATTCTTTAAAACGAACAACGTTGTTTATTTTCTGTTTTGTTCTTCATTCCGAGGTGACTATTAACAAAATTGCCAAAACACTACCAATGAGTACAATAGTCAAAGAGTTATGGGTTATTTGAAGGAAACAAATCGAATGCAAATAAGAACGACCCTCAAAGAAAAACCAGGAAGTACTTCAAATGAGTGATTGATTCCATAAAGGCAAAAAGGCAATCTTTTTATGCTACCACTTAAGTGTGCTCTTTGATTCACTTTTTTTTTTTTAGTTTCTCTTTTTGTTTTGTGATTTCAGGATGTTCATCGTGCCGTGTCCAAGTATGAAGAGGTGGTTACAATTGTGGAGGAAATAGAGAAGAATCCGGAGAAAATGATTCAATTTTATGTTAATAGTGTAAAAAAATGACTTACATTTGACAAGTAAAAGAAGAAAAAAAATCCCTTTAAATTCTTGAACGTACAGTATAGGTCAGGTCCGACACCCGATTTGTTGACACTCTTCTATCACAGATCGATCCTGACACTTTTCTCCAGATGTTCCATCCTTCCTGTACCTAAACTCCTGCACCTTCACCACCTCTGCTCCTTGTAGCCTCACTATTTCACTGTTCTCCCCTTCGTTGTACAGTATAGGTCAGGTCCGACACCCGATTTGTTGACACTCTTCTATCACAGATCACTCCTGACACTTTTCTCCAGCTGTTCCATCCTTCCTGTACCTAACCTCCTGCCCCTTCACCACCTCTGCTCCTTGTAGCCTCACTATTTCACTGTTCTGCCTTTCGTTTACACACATATACTCTGTCTTGCTGCGACTGACCTTCATTCCTCTTCTTTCTAGTGCAAACCTCCACCTCTCTAGATTCTCTTCTAGCTGCTGCCTACTCTCACTACAGATCACAATGTCATCTGCAAACATCATAGTCCATGGGGACTCCTGTCTGACCTCACCTGTCAATCTGTCCATCACCACAGCAAACAAGAAGGGGCTCAGGGCCAATCCTTGATGTAGTCCCACCTCCACTTTGAAGTCTTCTGTCCTCCCAACAGCACACCTTACTACTGTTGTACTATTCTCATACATGTCCTGCACCAAACTAACATACTTCTCTGCCACTCCTGACTTCCTCATACAAAACCACAATTCCTCCCTTGGCACTTTGTCATATGCCTTTTCTAGATCTACAAATACACAATGCTTTCTATTCTATTCTTCTCTGTACTTCTCCATCAGCATCGTTTGAAACTGTAGCAGTTTTTAAAGAACATAATATCATCCGTCACTTTGCTATAAAGCGCGCTAAATATGCTAGCAAGCAGTCAAGGCAAGATCGGCAAGATTGTTTCTTGTTGTACCCAGCTTTCCATTTCACTAGCTTGCCTTAATTTTTTTTTCTAAGACCTTCTCCTTGTTCTTTACACCCTTAATTTGTAGGCGTGTTTTCTTTCTATTCTATTCTTAGTCCCTGGTGAAGACTATACGGCACAAACGACGATATTGGCACAAATAAAAGATGTCTCAAAAGGATTTTTATATGATACCTGCTATAATAAAATAAAAGGAATCCAAACTTGTCTCAGGTTGAATCTGTATTTCCATTTAAACTTTCCAGCAGCTGTTTTTGGATCATATTAGACAGTTAGCTGACCACTGATGCACTGAAGCAGTGACCTACAAATGCTTTTCATTTTTTTTATATTATTATTATGATTTTTTTTTTAAACAAGACTTCCCTCTTTCCAACTCAAAAATTTTTTTTATATTATTATTATTATGATTTTTTTTAAAACAAGACTTCCCTCTTTCCAACTCAAAGACCTTATATATGGTACTTTCTATACCTATCCCATCCAGGTTAGGCGAGATGGAACAAAATCTCAGCTGACACTACTATATATAAATATGTTTGATTATGATCAAAATAAGAGTTGAAATATTTTCCATGGAGTAAAGCTAGGAGCTGGCGAATGATCATTTGAGTGGCCAAAGATTTGACTTCTATGGATATAAGATTTGGCCTCAGGGTATAATTTTAGGACAGTTACCTTATAAAACTCTGAAACGTAAAGTAATGTTTACTATAAGTCACACACTTTTTTTTCATCCTTTGGCTGGGTCAGGTGTGACTTATATATTAAAATATAGAATTTAACTTTTTTTTTTTACACCGATTTTTTTAGCACCGATGGCACCGATAGGCTCGTGTACCAGTATCTGCTACTCCTGTACCACTGAAAATGTACATGTTCATTATTTTCACACTGACAGCCACAAGAGGGCACTCTAGGCTTATGTACCAGTATCTGCTAGTTCTGTACCACTGGAAATTGTGTGTTATTTTCACACTGACAGCCCCCAGAGCTGGCTGGTGCAACTCCAGAGCGACTTAACAGTCCGGAAAATACGGTACCTTATTTGTTATTTCGCTGTTTAAAAACAAAAACATTTCCACCATTCATTTTTTTTCAAAGTATAAACCTTATTTTGCACAGTGTCAATTTTATCATCAGGCACGCATTCGTCCTCTTGGCTGGAGGGTGTTGCTTGGGAGTCCTCAAGTACACCCTCACGGGGTAAAGGATGGATCTTGTTTTTCCGTCTTGCGCCAAAAAACTTCCTGCAAACAGACTCTCTAATATTGTCCCCCTCTACGTTCAGCTCCTCGCTGTTTTCTTTAAAGTTGTCTTTAGTGGCGGATGTTACTAAGGAAGAACCAGATTCCTTCTCCTTTGGTAGAACATGGTGGATTTTGCCAAGCCGTGCAATTAAGTTTTGCAAACGAGACTCTTTCGATTTACTCTTCCTTTCCTGCACTTGAACAGTTTTGTTTTCAGACAGGCACAGGTGCTCCGTATTCACTTGTGGTATGAGGAGCTTGTCCTTCCTTGACCAACAGGTCTTTGACCAAAAAGACATCCTCTGAACATTTTTGCTCATCTGCTGCTCCTCAGTTCCCATTTTGCATACGTTTGGGTCCTCTGTGGTGTAGGATATCACCAAGGAGGAACTATCTTCTTTCTGATGCTCCTGTAGAAGAGGACTTACCTTGTTGTCCCTTGGGCCAAAAAGCCTATTCCAAACAGACTTTTTCACATTATCTTTTTTCTGTAGCTCCTCGCCATTGTCTCTCGACTGGCATTGGCTCTCAGCGATGGGAGATGTTTCCAATGAAGATTGACAATCATTTTTGTGTAACGTTTGAGGGTACCTCCCTTTCCTTTGCGCGCCGAAAAGTTTACTCCATAAGTTTTTCTTTCCATTGTCCTCATTTTGGTCGACCTCGGGAGCAGTCGTTTTTGGTGACGAGGAAGCCGAAAACGAATTTATATGTTCCTCTTTCTCCATCCTAGCTGGGGAGACGTTCGAGTTCTCCACAGTGACTTGAAGGCAACTGTTGAAAACCTTTGAGGTAGTTGACGGTGAAGAAGTGTGTAAGGATGTCTTATTGTTCTTGTCGGATCTTGCGGAACAGTGCGAGGACGACCTTTTCTCAGGTTCCATGATGTTGATATCGTCATTGCTTTTGTTTCCAGACACGGCTGAATCGAGAGACATTTCTAAGGCCTGAGAGCAACTTTCTGCCAGTTTAGGTGAGGTGATTGCGGTAGTTGTGGGTGAAAAGGGAGAGGATTTCCTAATCCTTATTTCTAAATTGTCAGATATTCCTTTCTCTGGAAATATAAGATTTTTGGTTCCTGTCTCGTCTCCTTGTTTCTCCAACATCTTAAAACATTGTACCAAATGGTGTATATCCCTCTCAAGATCCTTGTTCACCATATTTGGATAGATATTGCTCATGGTGGACTTGGTTAACTCGGCAGTCGAAGGAAAAGTGTCACAAGAGTACTTTTTCGTGCCCACCTTTGATCCAGTAGAACAATCGAGGCCGGAACTTTTCTGAGAAATGTTTAATTTCTTGCTATTGTCGTTCCGTTCCTCTCCCTGTATTAAATGTGGGGTGAGAGTAATCCTATCTGCCAATTTGGGGGTGGATGGTGTAACAACTGTTTTACTTCCGGCATCTGCTTTAATAGAGCACACCGAGGATGATCTTACCTCAGTTATTTTTCCTTTCTTAACGTCACTGTCTTTGTCACCAACTCGGGTCTCTAACATTTTAAAACATTGTACAAGATGGTGAACATCCTTTTTAAGATGCTCGTCTACCAAAGATGAACAAAAATGATGCAGCGGCGTCTTGGGTATTGCTGGAGTCTTAGTTGCAGACAAATTGAAAGGAGCGGTTTTCCTGGTGCACTCTAATCCAGTGAAGCAGCCGGGTATCGATCTTCCCTCAGAGGTTTTCTCCTTGACATCTTGATCAACACCTCTGATGTCCACGATTGCCTGTGAGCAGCTACACGTCACATTTGGGATGGAAAATGTAAAAGTTGCAGGAGAGAAAGGAAGCGGGGAGGCAGTTCGAATCTTTACCTCTAATTTCGCACAGCAGTTGGAAGGCGCTTGATTCTCGACATTGATCGAACTTGTGCCTTCTTTGTCCTCTACTCCGGTCTCTAGTTTGGGGAAACATTGTACGAGACTGGGATCATTCGTCTCCAGCTCGTCATCTACCGCAGCTGGAAGGATCTTGCGTAGGTTAGCATTGGTCGTCGTTCCGTTCTTTGTTGACGGACAACTAGAGTAAGCCGAACCCTTGCTCACCTCCAATTCAGTTGAACGACAAGGTGCAACAGGAATTGGAAGGTCTTTGGTGCATATTTCACGTCCCTCTTTGTCGAACACAGCTGGAGAAAAACAGTACGTCATCGTGATGGCCTGAGGGCAATGTTCAGCAACCTCGACGCTGTACAACTCAAAAGCTTTGTGCGAGGGGTGATGAGGGGATTCCGTCGTAAGGCTCGTGTCTGACTTCTCGGAGCTCAAGAAAGAGGTTTTACTCTTAGGATGTAAGGTATTATTCTTTTCGTTGCCATCTCCCTGTGTCCCCAGCATTTTGCTTTGTTGTGCAAAATGGTGAACGTTCTTTACGAGCTCCTCATCCACTACAGTTGACGAGATGTCACTCCGGGTTCTCTCTGGCCTTGCTGCGGTGGTGCACATGTCCATGGAATCGGTAGTGCTGCTCATATCTAATCCAAAGGAGCCGAAGGGGGAAGGTCTCTCCTTAAGAAACGAGATGCCCGTAGTGTCATCGTTATGTACTTTTTCGTCCACCAAAGCTGGAGAGAGACCGCTGATTTTTACAGCATCTTTTGCCTGAGAGCTACCGTCTGCCCCTTGCATGGTGGACAATAGAATATCTGTAGGTGAACACTGAAGAGGGGACGCTGCGGTGTCAATCGTGTCTATTTCGGTGGAGACCCCAAAAGCTGTTGCAATCTCGGGAATCATGATTTCTTTGCTGCCGCCGCCGTCGTCTCTTTGTGACGTCAATTATGATTTCTTCGCTGCCGCCGTCGTCTCTTTGTGACGTCAATGTACCTGGGGCAATGTGAGGAACATTCTTGTTAAAATCCTCACCCACCATAGCTGGACAGGCATCAGGAAGGGCAGCCTCAGTTACTGTGCTAGCATAACCGATACGTGCAAAAGAATCTATGGTTTCAGGCGTCCTGCTCGTATCTAATCTTTCGGAGCAGATAAGGGATGGTCTTTCCTCAGAGTCCATGACTTCTTTTGCATCCTTGTCAGGTCCTTCATCCGTCAACAAAGCTGGAAAGAATCTACCGATACTGGCACTGCGCTTAGCCGAATGATCTCCGCCAGATGTAGGCAAAAGGTAAAGAGAGGAAGCTGTTTTAACACTGATATCCATTCTGCCGGAGCACCCGGAATGTGCTTTATTTTCTGGAATAATAGCATCGTTATTGTCGTTGTCATCTTCTGGTGTCTCCGACATCTTGAAACATTCTGAATGACGTGAACAATTTGTTGTAAGATCCTCACATACCGAAGCTGGACTGATGTCAGGCAGATGGCCTTGATTTAATGGAACAGTGGAAAATGATGACGAATCAGAGGTCGGAGTTTTCCCGCTCACATTTAAACAGCAGGGGGTAACTATTTCCCCTTGGGTTGTGACATATTTCATATGTCTGCCATGGTTTTCTTTATATTCCGAAGCAGGAGAAAATCTGCAGGTCTCCACACTGGCCAGAGAGTAACTGTCCGCCACTTTATGAGCAGACAATATAATAGTAGGTAGAGAATGTGGAAAGGAAGCCGTTTTACCACTAATGTCGATCTCTGTCGAGCATTTTGAAGTTGTGTTCTCAGCGGCGAAAATATCTGGACTGTCTTTTAAATCTCTTTGTGTCTCTAACTCTGTGAAACTTTGTGGAGGCTGGTAGACGTTGTTTCCAAGGCTCTCTTTTACCATAGCTAGACCAGCACCACTATGGGTTGCCTTAGCCAATGTTGCAGTGGTAGATGGTAAACAATCACTGCAGCAACTTGTGGCTAGTTCTTCCTCAGAGATTGCGATGTATTTTTCATTTCCATCTTTCTCTAATGTAGCTCGAGAAAGGCTCTGGGTCTTGGCAACAGTCTTACAGCGACTGTCATCCACGGATACAAGGATGGATGACGAATCGATGCTAGTTGAAGAAAGATAATGGGAAACCCCACTAACGTCGAATGCGTTGGAGCACCTAGAAGATGCTCTATTCTCACTAACTGGGGCATTTTGACTTCGTTGGTCGCTTCTTTTTCTCTCAAACATGTTTAAATGTGCAAGATGGTGAAGACTTTCTTGACTTTGTTGGTCGCTTCTTTTTCTCCTACTTTTCTCATTTAAATGTGCAAGATGGTGAAGACTTTCCTTAGAATCCTCATCCACCACGGCTGGGGTGACGTCATTCGAGGTGGCCTCTGTTTTTGCTGCACTGGTAGGCGAAGAAGAGACAGAGGAAACAGTTGCCCCGCTCACCTCCAATCCAGGAGAACATGTAAGGGAAGGCGTTTTCTGGGGTATACTGATGTCTTTGGCATGTGCCCATTTCTCCAGCAAAGCTGGTAAAAGACTGGGTGTCTTTGGAATGGCCTGAGAGCAACTGTCCGCCACCCTAGGGCTGGAAAATGCAATATTTGTAGGTGAAGAGTTCATTGGGGAAACAGTTTTACCACTAATGTTGAATTTAGAGGAGCACCTAGATGACACTACCTTGGCATCGTTTTTACCGTCTATGTCATGTTCTTGTGTTTCGACTATTTTAAAACATTGTACAAGCTGGTGGACATTTCTCTTAAGAGACTCGTCCACCTTCGTTTGACAGATATCGTGTAGTGTGGTTTCACTTGTGGCCGCAGAGGTGGTAAAATATGAATCAGAGGTCGTTTTGCTGCTTACCTCTAATCCAGTGAAGGAGGCCGGGGGTGGTCTCTGTGCGACTGGAGTATCTTTTCGCTCTGTGCCATTCCCTGAAAATGGGGCAACATTGCCGGTCTTTGTGGCTCCTAAGCGATCCTCTGCTGCCATAGTAGTCAGCAGTGTTTGACTATCAGGAAACACGTTTTTAATATCTTTTTCTTCTTGGGTTTCCAACATTTTGAAACATTTTACAAGCTGATGAACATTCTTCTTGAGCTCCTCGTCCACCATGGATGGATGGATGTTGCGTAAGGTAGCTTTGGTTAGCTCCGTGGTGATAGATGACTCCGATTCACAAACCGCAGGTTTTTTGCTGGTTTTCTGCAACGCAGCGGACGATCTGAGGAAAATGCTCTTCTCGGGGATTACTGCGGCAATGGCGTTACTTGTACGTCTTTCTTGATCTGAAATAGGGAAACTGGGGAATGCTCTTTTCTCAAGGGTCTTGTTATGGACGTCTTTGTGGCGACCCTCTCTCGTAGCCGGTCTGGCCTGAGAACCGCTGTCTGTTACTGCAGTAGTTGAAGGTGGAGACGAAGTGGAGAAGGCTATTCTACTGCTCACCTGTGGTGCCGAAGATGGGTTTGTTGAGCTGCTGAAGTCTCCTTTCCTTTTGGAAACTGGAGAGACATCGTTGGTTCTCTCAAACGCCAGGGGGCAACTGTCTGACCCCCCGAAGCCAGACAAAGCGGCAGACGTAGATGGGGAAACGGCCATGTATGACGTTTTACAAGTAATTCCCGATTCGTTGGAGACATTGATGTCTTTATCGTGTCCCTTCTTTCCTGACGTCTCACTTTTAGATTTAGAGCAACTGTCTGCGACTTGGGAGTTGGATACCGCTCTAGTGGATGAAGCAATTTTTTCTAACAAATGCGGCGAGAGGCTGTTGCTCGCTACGTTGGCCTGAGAGAGATCGTCAATCGACTTAGAACTGGATAGTGAGGGTGTGGTGGATTTGTCAGGAATGATGTCAATCACGATGCCTTTCTCTTGGCCCTTTTTGTTCACCATCGTTAGAGAGATGTTGTGTTTGTTTGTTCCTTCGTTCTGTTGTTTTACGAAAGATTTTTCAGATATTCTTTGCATGTCAAAATATCTCCTCAGACATGCCTCCAAATGTCTCTTGGTAATTGCTTTAGGGTTGTTGGACACATTCTCTCTATCCTCTGATACGTTGCGCTCCAGTGCATGCCAGAGGAAACACGATTCCCGTTGATGGACGTTTCCTACCGTACGTTTGAGGATGTCTGCGACGTACATGTTGACAAACAAATCGGTTAACAAGTCGGATTTTTCCCCCGAGGTATTCATTCGCTCTGAATTGATTTTCTCCCTTTCATTAACCACGATATGTTCCGCAGGATTAGACATCGCTGCCATAGGAGTTGGTGAAGCGAAAGATCGAGCAGCTGCTAAACTCCTCAACCCGGACATACTCGACCAGTTCAGGAAGGAACTGTTCTCAGTGCTGCAGAAGCTCTCCGTCAATTTTGGTACGGAGAACGATCTTTCCTCCGAGTTATTGACATGTACCTCTTCCTTCAGCATAGCAGGGAAAAGGTAGCCTTTGCTGCAATCTTCATGTTCTAGATTCTCTTGCAAAGATTTCATCATCTGGACTTCGAAATATCTGGTCAAATACATTTCTGCATATTGCTTCGTTTGTGGACCAAGGCTGTTAAAGACGCTCTCCGTATCACCAAACACCCCGTGTTCCAGTGCATCCCAGGAGATGAGCGACTCCTTCATGCTCTGTATGGCTCTCACTGTGTCTTTGATAATATTGGAGACGAAGATATCCGTGAAGAAATCAATATCTCCTGTCTTCACGTCCGTTTGTTCCCCCGTTGGATCCATTGCCACAAGTTTTTCTGTTGTCTTGAGAATTTTTTTACATTTATTTTCTTCAATGTTTTACTGATTCTCTCAGGCAATTTTATACATTTATTTTCTTCAATGTTTTACTGCAGTTGGTATCGGTTAAGTTGCATTGTTCTCCCAAGTGTTTTACATATATATCTATATAAATCTATTTTTTTTTCTTGCTATGATTATTATTTGTTTTGATGCATTACTTCCAGAGCTGGAGAGGGTTAGAAACCTCTTTAAACCTTTTTTCAATTTTTTTTTTTTTTTAAAGAACCAGTATGCTTCTGGGGGTTTTAAGGAGGTTGGAATCTGGAGCGTTGCATCAATGCCTTCGTTCTCTCCTTACTCTTTACCCGGACTCTACTACTTAATTGTGTTTTATCACCTGCGACCATGAGGCCAATACATTACAACATCGTTCGAGATTTGTTAATTATTCATCTGTAATGCTTCTTACCGAATTCCTTTGCCCTTCTTGCCTTTGTGATGTGCCTAAAAACATCAAAGTTACAAGTGTCACTGTGTCCTTTCAACTGACCTCAAAGTCATTTTACGTACTCGATCTTAACGTGGACAGTCATTGATTTACATTCTGATTTTTTTCTTCCAATTGCTCAGCTGTTAGAATTAGGTTAACTGGGCCCATAATTTAGATGTTTATGGGCACATATAATGCAAACGTTATCATACCGTATTTTTCGGACCATAAGGCGCACTGACGATTTTTGAGAAAATTAAAGCTGCGATTTTAAGTGCGCCTTTCCAGACAGCAGCCACAAAAAAAAAAGCATAATGAAGAAGAAAAAAAAAAAACATGAGTCGCTCTGAAGTATAAGTCGCATCAGGCAAAGGATGAATGAAAAGTGTGAATTACAGGAGTAGCAGATGGGTGACTTATAGGAGTAGCAGATACTGGTACACAAGCCTAGCGTGCCCTCTAGCGGCTTGCGGTGTGAAAATAACAAACAGAAATTTTCAGTGGTACAGGAGTAGCAGATACTGGAACACAAGCCTAGAGTGCCCTCTAGCGGCTGTCAGTGTGAAAATAACAAACGCATGATATCAGCATATTGGATATTGGCAAAAACTTAATATCAGACATCCCTATAAATTATATTATAACAGATTTTGCTTATTAATATGAGTATGAGTGTGTCTATGCCTCTCTCTTTCTCCATCATCCACCTCTCTTCCCTCCTTCAACCCCAAGTGGCCTTCACAGCTATCTGCTTACTGGGTGAATCCCGAGTTACATCCCTTTAATTCTTCACCTTCCAAATTTAACTCTCAATCTCTTATGTCTGCAAATAAGCAAAAAAAAATGCTTTGTCAGAGGAAAATTCCTCGTTTTGAAAAAGTCAAAAATGCAAAGTAGGGATTTTTGACGAGCCTATCCTCAGGGAGAGACCTCTCATCCGCCCTGCCTCTCTTACTACGCATTCTACATATACTACTACAATTACAGCAGTGAAACGTATTAGTAAATTCCAATGCTGTATTTTTTTTTATTGTAATGGGTCAATAAAAGAAAGGAAAGGTTAGCATATTTATCATTTTTGCCATTATCAGGAGGTATGGTGGTAATGACTTGGGATGGCTCGATCTAATACTCAGGATCAGTATTGGTCCGATATTGTTCAAAATACCAGGATTGAACATCGAGGCATGTTGGTAAGTACTGTATTACTACTTAGTACTGTACTATAAGTGGCACGTTTTTCATCCTTTGGCTGGGCTTGAACCTTATACTCATGTGCGACTTATATATATATATATATATATATATATCTTAAAATATATATTATATCACGTGTTTTTATTTACACTGACAGCCCCTAGAGGGCACTCCAGGCTTGTGTACCAGTATCTGCTACTCCTGTACCACTGAAAACTTCCATGTTCATTATTTTTACGCTGACAGCCACTAGGGGTCACTCTATACTTGTGTACCAGTATGTGCTACTCCTGTACCACTGAAAATGTACATGTTTGTTGCATTTTTTCCTCATCATTATGCATTTTTTGGCATGCATTTATGCATTATATAACCCTCCCCGGAGTATAAGTCGCACCAGTGCCCTCTAGCGGCTGCCTGTGTGAAAATAATGAACATGTACATTTTCAGTGGTACAGGAGTTGCAGATATAGTTGCACACAAGCCCTAGAGCGCCCTCTAGCGACTGTCAGTGAGAAAATAACAAACATGTGAAATTTTATATATTTTAAAATATAAGTCGCACCTGAGAGCATAATTCGCAAACCCAGCCAAAAGATGAAAGAAAGAAGTGTGACTTATAGTTCGCAAAATGTGGTATGCATGGCCCACATAAATAAAAAACATAATTAAAAATATATATATAGTACGGGGTCCCTGCTACATCCGTCCCTCAAAGACCTTCAACTGTCAAAGACCCCTGCATTAGGTAGTGATTTCTTGCCCCGTTTTTTTTTTTGCATACACAGTATATCATTCTGGAGGCTTTCGAACACAACGCCCACGTGGACCGAAACCCCCTGATATTCCGTTGGAAAGCTAATTACCCCATTGCCACAGCCAGCATCGTATATTGTTTATAAATATAACAAGGGGCTGAGCCTTGAACATTTGAACTTCGAGTAAGATTTTTTTGCACAGCTATGCAGCTCTAAAAATGTCCTTCCTGTCAATACCGTCAACTCAGCAGTCAGGTACAAGCAGAACAATGAAGGATTAAGTGGCAGTTTGTTGAGTCTCCAGTAGATGGAGCCTTTGGGAAGCGAAAGGAAAATTCCGTTCTACAGCTGTCTGGTCCATTGTTCCCTGATTGTCGTCCTCATCCTGCGGTGTCTGCCTTTCCACTCATAACTCCTCCTGGTGGACAGGACCATAAATATTGTTTTTTTTTTTTAATAAGAAAAGGCTAAATAATGACCTGGGTGGAATCTTTGGAAATACTAGAAGCTCTTCACAAAAAAAATAAAAAATAAAACAATGACCTCAAAGCACTTTAAGACAAGTTGCTCTAATAATAATTAAAAAAAAAAACTGTATAGAATAATAAAACCCCTCGCATCCGGTGCTGTAAAAAAATCCCCCCCCCCCCAACCCCCCGAAACATTCCCTGCAGCCTCCTCGCTGACTGAACTCTTGAGGAGCAGATCAATGGGAGGATTATCATCGCCACGAGACGCCACTTTCAAAACAGCGACGTTCTGCCTAAGTGAAGGGAAGAAGATCGAGAGGATTTCTTTTGATCTCCAGCTCAGGCATCGGAGATGACCTCATTGCTGATGGTAATGATGCCAGGTCCCAATGCAGAGACTCGGGCTGCTGTTTTAAATTTTTTTTTTTTTTTTTTTCATTCTCACAGTGGTGATATAAGAGGCCCGGCCTGTGAAGAGCTCAACTGGACAAAAGAGAATTAATGGTTTCATATCCATGTTAGTGTGTGTGTGTGTGTCTGCTGTGGTTGTTTTCTCCGTCAAATTAGATCCAGCCGAACACCTCTGTCCTCTTCCAAGGGCACCCCTCCCTTCTGCAGCTCTCCATCCAACACAATTCCCTTTTACTCTCCGTCTCTGTCGGCTTTTTGTGTGACAGGCTTGTGCCGCTGGAGATAGCTGCTTACAGTCTGGACTGTAAAAATCTTGGGGTCTTTGTGTCTGTGTTTTTTTTTTTTTCTTTTTTTCTTCTTCTTCTTCTGGGTGTATGTGCGTGTGCGTGAGACGGGGAGGGATGGAGAACAATGGCGAAACATTTTCCTTGCTAAATACAGTATCTGCTTCCCCCCTTTCCCTTCCCTTCCCTCTGTTTCCTTTATTTTATCATTATTCATTCTATTCTACGCGACACATCACGATTTATTTGTTCTCATTTCCTAATTAGTTCCAATTAAAAAAAACACACGACCTATTAACCAGAACATTACAATGTGAATTGTATTCCAGAATAAGGAATGAGGCTAAAGGCCAGAGATTCTTGGCCACGCTGAAAACATTACCGTCGT